CCCAAGAATGTCCTTTCCGTTTACTTGTTGTAACAACTTCAAAAAAGTATAGTTTTTATATACAGGAGTTATTATCAGGAAATCAAAATGTCAAGGCACACTCTTTTCACTATTACTTTATGAATATTATTCTTTTCTTTCTACAATATTTTGAGATGCTGAGGACATTATTCCCAGATGATTTAATTATTTAAAACGTACTATGCTATGAACATGGTGGATATCCTAAAAGCAAAAATCAGGATTCATACTGCAGAGAAGGAAGAAGAGATCAGAGCTCAACAACTTGAGCCCTTGTGAAGATGGACTCACTAGAGATGGCATTTAGACTAGTGGAGAATTCCCTCTATAGAGAGAGGTTGCTGTGCTTCTATGTCCCTCGTATGAGTAAAATATAATACAGTCTACATTACCAGCCTGAAAATAACTCACCTGAAAATCCTGTTCTTATTTATTAGTGTCTTCAGAAAAGTTCTCACTGAGAATTCACACATTACTTAAAATATTAAGGTGGCAAATACAGCAGGTGTTCATTTATGCTTAATTAATGTTTCGGGAGTGTATTTCTTACCACCCTGAAGAAGGGAAAAGAGGAGAGAGAGAAAGAGCAAGAAAGAGAGAAAGGCTTGGAAGCCAATTTTGACTCCTAGGAAGAAAATGCAGGGCTTATGTAGGACTTCATGACCTTGGAGATTCAAACTCCAGACAATCTTTATTGATCTATTTATTTTTAGAATTCAAACTCAGAAGTTAGATTAATTGCCTTCCTATGTGTATTGGTAAGAATGTAATTTCTTCTAAATCACTGGAGACAATGCCTTGTCAAAACTACTTCACTGATTTACTTCAGAAAATTTTAACATAGAAAATACACAAATTGACTTAGAAAACATAGTAACTACAATAAAACATAAAGGCAAACATAATTCAGTGTGAATGCAACAATTAAGAGATAAAAGCTGTTAACATTTGCTGTATTATGTTCATGTCTTTTTCTGTATAGTGTATGCATGTATTGAGATGTATAAAAAAAGAGAAGTGCCTTTTGGATTATTTTATTTAACATTAAATACTCATCATTGTCAAAATAAGGAAGGAAGGAAGGATGGATGGAAGGAAGGAAGAAAGAAAGGAATAAAACAACGAAACAAAGAAAGAAAGAGAGAGAAAGAAAGAAAGAAAAAAAAGAAAGAAAAACAGACCACTATAACACATTAAACATTCAGAAGGAGAGAACTGAACTATGGTTCCTAGGAATAGGAAATGGAGAGGGGAGGAGAGGGAGGGAGAAATTGGGTAAAGAATACAAAGACTAATTACTTTTTTAAATGATGAACATGCTAACAATACCTATTCAATCATCACATATTGTACACAAATACTGATAGTCAACTCTGTACCTCATGAATATGTTTAATCAATTATGTTTCAATAAAATAGAAAATCATAATTGTCTGTGGAATCATAGATTCATGCCATTGAAACTAATTAGTGTTTCCTTACAAATATGAGTACACTATTCTTCCAAGCCTATATTAATACAATTAAATTATAAAATATCTTTGTGTCCACACCTTTTTAAAAATAGCACATGTATTTTGGAAGTATGTTTAACTCCTAGAACCACTGGTGTCAACCAATCCATTATTTCCACTACACCTGAACACACCACAATTAGATTCACTTATTCTTTCCCTGGACTGCTGTCAATCTCTCCATTCTTTGCCAGACTCTCCACCAGGGACCACTAGCACAACAGAGGTTGTTCATCACAGGACATAGAATTGTTCCTCTAGATGGCCTAGTTTTGCTCCATAATCCCAGCAATCTGTATTGTTACTTTCCCATGGAATTGGAATAACCTCCACATTGTATCTTTTCTTCACCACTGACACCTTTGCAAGCTGAACCAGCTTTGGGGCTGGTTTTTGCATTAGAGCCACTCAAACCTGGCAGCCCTCTGTATCACCTGGTATATTAGTTATCACTCTGCATGACAGGGTACTACCAGCTCAATGGCTTAAATTAATACACATTTTTATATTACAGTTTCTGTACAGTAGAAGTCATGACCCAGCTTAGCTTATATTATTAGTATAGTAAACTGATATACATTAGAATTCTTCAGGGTTCCACCAGGCTGCAATTAAGGTGCCATCTAGAACTACAGTCTCTTCAGAGGCTATACTTGGGAATGATTTTCTTTCAAGCTCTTCAAGTTGTTCATCTCCTTGCAGATGTTAGACTAAAATCCCCCTTTCTTGTTGATCATTGGCCAGCAGCTACTGTCAGATCCTAAAAGCCACCTGCATTTCTTGACACATGGCCCTCTCCACAGTCCCTCTCACAACATGGCAGCTTACTCACTCAAAATCAGAAATGAAGATAGTTTTTCTAACTTAAGGGAAGGCCTAGGCCCTCCTTTAAGGGCTTTCTGTTTTTATACCAACATCACGTTAGGATAGATTTCCATTTAATTAAGTCAAAATTA